TTATGGAGGCCCAGGAGGCCATTGGAAGGCTTTGAGCAGAGGAGTGACATGATCTAACCTAAGTGTTGAAAGAACCATTCGGAGTGTGCTGTATTTGGGCCGGGGAAGCTAGGACGAGTAGCAACAGGGAGACTAGTTAGGAGGCTAGTGCAGTAATCCTGGTGAGAGTTGAAGGTGACCTGGACCATGTTAACAGCAGGGAAATGTTGAGAAGCGGTCAGGTTCCAGATTTATTTCGAAGGTAGAACGAGTAGTATTTGTGAACAGACTGGACATGGCGTGTGAGAGTCAAGGTTAACACCATGGTTTTGGGCCTGGACAACTGGAACGATGAAGTGGCTTTCAGGCGAGCTGAGGAAGACCACAGGCAGAGCATATTCAGTGAGGGGAAGAGAACTTTATTTTAGATATAAGTTTGGTATTTTTATTAGACATCCAAATGGAGAGTTCTATTCTGTAATTAGGTATAGAAGCCTGGAGTTCAGGAGAAAAATCTGGGCTAGAGAGATACTTTTGGAAGTCACCAGCGTGTAATGGTATTTTTAAGTCACAAGACTGAATGACTTACCTCGGGAGTCGGTGTAGACAGAGAGGCGGACCAAGGGCTGAGCTCCAGAGCACACCACAGTTAGAGGCTCTGGGAGAGGAGGAGGAGCCAGCGAAGGGCACAGATACAGATCAAACATGCAATAGGAGAAAACCAGAAGAGAGCTAGGTAAAGACTGTAACTCAAGGACGGGCGATATGATCAGCTGTGTCATGGTCAGCACTGTCCGCAAGTCGAGTGAGGTCAGGATTGAGAATTGATCATTAGATTTAGCACCATGGAGATCAAAACCAATTCGGGTGGAGTGGTGGAGGCAGCAGCCTGATGTGAGTGTAAGAGAATAAGATTTTATTTATTTATTAGCACACACTTATGTCACAGAGGTTGAGTGTCTTGTCCAAGGTCACATAGCAGTAAAAGTGGTGGCAGGTTGCAACAGCCATTCCGCCTCCACAGTCCATGCTTTTAACCACAATGCACTGCTGCCTCTATATAGTTGGTAGGACGAGTATTTTGAGTTTTGCTGCAAAGAACAGAGAAAAGGGAGAGTGGGGTCATGGGAGTTTTTTGGATTTTTTTCCCCTCTTTTCATATAGGAGAATGATTCATTAGAGACAGAAAAAAAGTGAAGCCAGTGAGTGGGGAGAACGCGGGAACAATGTAGGCAAGAGGTTGAATTCTCATGTAGAGACTGGTTTCAGGTAGGAGCACGGATAGTTTATCTGCAGTATGAGGCAGGAAGACATAGTATATTTCTCCCCTTTTATTACAGTGAAAAAAGGGTCCCTTTTCTTCCAAAAGCCAGCCTTCCATTTGTCCCGTCCCTTCTCGTAGTCTCAAGGATGTTCCTCTTGTCATATATCACCACATACATATGTCATAATGTTCTATCTTTAAAGAGCAGTCATTCCCCACATTCTACCTCCCCCTCCACTTCTTACCTTCTGTGCTCTCTTGACTTTTCTGGTTGGTTTTTATTCCCACCATGCGGCTGAAATGGGACTCAGAGTGTTATTAATGACCGACTTCTTGCCGTGGTCCCTGCGAGTTTTTTCCTCTCTCTGCATCCCCTAGATGAGCTCATCCAGTCCCACAGCTTTAAGCACCATTTGTATGTGGATGACTCTCGAATGTATGTCCCCAGCCCAGACATGTCCCCTTAGCTCCTGTCCCAGGTGCATACGTCCAGTTCTATCCCTGCACCTGCATCTATGGAATCGGCACCTCCCTTAGATAGAAAGCTCAAGATTAACATGGGGAAAAGGTACTTCTACTGCACTCCCCCCCCCCGCCTTCCCCACCTTACAAACATGGCAGTGTCATCCATAGTCCCTTAGACCAGAAATCCAGGACCCTTGCGTATTTGTCTTTTCATACCTCACATCCAAACCACCCTTTAAGCAGTGTCAGCTCTACCTCCAAAAGACACTCCAGGTCTACTGACTGCTTCCTGTCTTCACCGACACCATGGCACAACCCACCCTCTCACCTGGCCGACTGCAGAACTTCCAGCTGGCTTCTCTGTCTCCACTTACGCTTCCTAATAGCAGCCAAAGGGATTGCTGAAGTGTAATCAAGTGTAGCTCAAATCATGCATGTAATAAAACCTACCGATGGCTTCCCACTTTAGCCACAATATAATCCAAATTCCTGCCGTGTCCTACAAGAGCCTACGTGATCTGAGCTGTGCCCACCTCTCCACCCCCCGTTTACAGTGTGCCTCTGCCATGCCACCCTCCTTCCTGCCCCTCCAACATTTTAAGCTTGCGCCAAGCATGTTCTCTTCCCAGGACTTTGTGTTTATTGACTGTTTCTTTTGTTGGATGCTCTTGCCACTCCCCCTTTATGTAACGGCCTCGTTCCCATCAGCCATGTTTCAACTAATACATCAGCCTCCTCCTGACATTATCTGCACCTCAGTGTGTCTTGTGTGTGTGCTTATTGCATGTCTGCCCTCATCAGAATGTTAGTTCACTGAGATTAAATTGCTGTAGTCACTGCTGACTGGCCCCACCCCCAGCACCTTGATTAGTTATTATATTAACTGCCTCAGTGGATACCAACTGAGTGATGAATATATAGCATATAATAAATAGAGTTTGTTCTCATTTGTTTTAAGATATTTTTAACCTTACAATTGTTACGTATCTTCTAGACCTACTATTGTACACAGATTCTTAATTAAAGCAACCATAGAAGAAAGAATGCAAGCAATGCTGAAAACTGCTGAGAGGAGGTAAGTAACAATTTACAAGTCGATGAAGAAGTTTTCCTGTTTATATAAGATTGTGTGCTTCGAACTTCTTCATTGGGATGACCACCGAGTCAACCAAAAGGTAGAAGGGCAAATAGTTTTTAAAAACAGTTTTTAGCTCCCCCAAATTTTCCAGTGAATAGGCTGGCCATTCTGTGTTTGACTTAATAAGAGGGATCGTAATGTATAAAAATATTTAAACTAAACTATCCTCCAGGTCTTTGCCACGTGGGATTACTGTTTAAATGAAATCTGTCTTCATGCCCACCCTAAAAGCCTTAGCCTGACGTCTGTAAAACAGAACATACAGCGCTGCTTTGTACTTCACATGTGTCAGTCACATGCAGGTGGGAGGAGCTGGACTTAAAACTCAGCTGGCAACTGTGGCGGTAGTCCCAAAGCAGAACAGAGCAAAGACAACAGAGCAGCCTTAGCTTTAAAAACTCAACTCTGGAGCCATAAAACTTCCTAATATGTAGTCTATAATTTGTTTTCTTTAAAGTCCTTTTAAAAATATAAACGAACGCCTGACCTCCTGCATCCTTGTGAGATAGGTATGATTGAAGATACGCACAGTACAAGGTGATTTCCTTAGAAGGGATCACTTCCACAGGGGCACTTTGCACGGGTAGCAGAGAAGCAATTTGACACAGGAAACACTCTTCCACTGGTGGTTTAAGGAAGGAAAGAGGCTCCCACAAGAGTTTTTTGCCTCAAACTTGAGGCTTGCAAAATACAGCGTACTGTTTAAGCTGCCTCAATAAAATAGCAATTAGAAGAGCTGTTGACATGCTCTTGAAACAAATTAACTTTGGACAGTAAGAAGGCACATTGTAAGGTGAGAGCTGTGGTAGCAGAGTTGGCAGGGCTTTTGTTTCTGTTTTATTAATTGTGCAAAGAAAAACCATTTTATAACAAAGCCTGAAAATAATATATATAAGTCTTCACTAATTTTAACAAGATGTAATAATGATCACTTTCTTCTGGGCATTTCGTAGGGCACAGTTACAAAAAGTTAGGAACTAGAACTTAAGACTAGACCAATATATGTGACAAATTTAATCATTTGTTCCTTGGGGTTTCTTTCTGACTCCGCTCACCTGGAAAATCCTGCAGTCACACAAACTCGTCAGGGAAGCATTCGGAGGCCTCCGTCTTGACCGTGGCTGACCTGGCAGACCTATTTACCAAAGAAACTGAAGAGCTTGAATGAAGTCCGCTTGATTCAGTCTGCAAACTTTAATGTATTTTAAAACTTTCACAGCTTGTAGAGCAAAGTTATAAGTAAAATATCCAGTAGATGTCAGTACAGACTATTCTTAGTGGAATGAATTGATTCTTTTTTTAGTTGTACAGTGTCTTAGTAGATATTGAGTCCTTTTCAATAAACTGTTTCCAGAAGATCTATAAAGATTTTTAATTTTTCACTCCTAATAAAACATTTATTTTTGTTCCAAAGATTATCTATGTCAGAGGGAATTAAGAGCGGTAGTGTGTACTTTTCTTTTGATAAGTTCCGTCTTAAAAAGAGTTGGAATAAGAGAGAAAGTAAGCTTGCCTGGTTTTCTATGACCTGGTCTATTCAACCAACATGAATCTCATTTTTGGAATGGCCTTCAGTATTTTTAGCACATGAGTCACCAATTCTTGTTAGTAATACTTTAAGTAGATGGTGAATTACATTAACTCCTAGTTATTTGAGTAGATTTATACTGTAACTCCATACATAGTAACTCTACAGTAATACAACTAACAATAAGCTAATATTAGACACTTTTTCTTTTCTCTGTATCTTGCTACAAAAAAGCGAAACGCTGATCACTTCATGTTTGTATTACATGTTAAGTTGATTCGGTGCAAGGAGTTAACTTTAAATTGCATTTTTAAGTATATTAATGTTTACCTTAAAATGATCTAAACTACTTGCTCTACTTTTAATTTTTTGTATTTAATTTTTTTACATATTTTAAGATTGATGTATCTGTAAATATTGCAATTTTTGTAATTTTAGTTCTTATCATTTTAACATGGAAACATGGCAGGCTTTTTTTTTAATCATTATTCTACTGTTGTCTTCTTTCTTTTCCTTCCCCATGTTCTTACGTAACTAGACTTTTAACCACTAATATCTAAATTTATGATAGGGTTTGTTATTTTCTTCCACTAGTACTCCTCTCAACTAGTATTTTATCTTTGGAGCAAGGGAATGTCATATTTACATAAACAAATAATTGCAAGTGATCACCACCTAGTGTTTCTTCTTCTGTGAAGAATTAATGGACTTTGACATTTCTAAGGAGGAGCTTATTGTATCCTAGCTGTTTGATGCAATACAAATGTTCTTGTTTTGTTCTGTTTTCTTTGAGCCTTCAAAGTTTTAAATGACCCTCAGGACTTATTAGCTTCTTCTTAGCTACCCAGAAAACTGTAATAGAAACATCCCCTGGATCACATTTGTCCGAGAGGCTTTGGTGCTTAGTTCAGGTGCATTTTCCTATTCTAGGTTGGACATAATTCAACTGAAGAAAACACACACACGTTTTTGGTGCTTATTCTTCAGTTAAAGGAGATAACGCATTAATTCTTTTATATGAAATAAAACAGAACTATTAGTTTTGTAGCTCTTTAACACTATAAAGAGCTTTCCTGTACATTCACATGTTTAATTTGCCCAACAGTCCTGTGAAGTTGATGTAATCAATATTATTCCTGTTTTAAACGTAGAGAACTGAGGTTCAGAACTATTGAGAAACATGCCTATGACATGTAGCAAGGTAAACAGTGGAACTCAGGTCCCCTGACTCCAAATTTCATGTTCTTTCTCTAACTCATCTGTCCTACTGAGATTCAGAAGGTCTGTGGTTATAATTTCATATTTCAGTATTTCTGTTTGTTTCTTAGTATTCCTTTCTGAGCTAAAGCGTTAGGGAAAACAATTTGATATGCTTCAATTTTGTAAAAAACAACAACAACAACAACAACAACAAAAATATATATATATATATAAATATATATATAAATATACCTATCTGTATTAGAGGAAAAACTGCTCTTATTTATTTCTGTAAGATATCATCAATTAAATAAATATTTTAGTGGAAGTTGAAATTTGGGGATTTATTTAATTTCTGATCCATAGGATATACGATGTGGGTTTTTTTGGTTTTTGTTTGTCTGCTTTGGTCTCTCAACAAAAGATGTCAAAATCGTTTATACTACAAAATCCCATATTTTATAGGCACTTGTTATTTCTTCAAAACAGTTGAGGCAGTTCTTCCACATAATTGTTCCAAACATACAGATGTAACCCCCACATTTTCTTGGCTGCAAACAAAGAACTTTTTTGTTTCCTTCTTCCATCATTTTATATTCTCGGAAATATCACTGTGCTTATAAACCGTTGTTCTCAGATGGGTGCTGTACTGATGAAACAGTGAGAAAAAAATGAGGTAGTTCCAGTCCTTAGAGAGCGGAAATGTGTTTGGACGAGAGGAAGCATTCTCTGTTCAGTGATTCAGCTGACCTCATAGGACTGAAAGGACTTATTTATAGACAGTGTAAAATACCTGTACCGAATTCCAGAATCTTTTGCTTCAAACCCAGGCAGCTTTACTGTTTATTGTCATTTCAGCATTTCTCTTTGTGTGTGCTCTTGGCAGAAGATCCAAACATTTGATTTTAGGGATTGGTCCCTTTCGTATCACATTAATAACAACAAACTAAAAACTCTTGAAATGATAAATTCAACATGTAAACCACAAATACTTTACAAATAATTATTAAACCTAAATAGTTATCAAAATATTTAAGAACTGAATTTAGCAATGCAAGATTAATCATTGCCTCAAGCTACCCTTTCAGGTGGACAGAGGAAGAAATGGTGGTTTTTAAATCTCCTCCTGCTTTTATTTACTAGTTCTCCCAAGATATAGTGTGCTAGAGTTCTTTATATTTATTAAACCACAGGATAACCTTTGAGAAATGTAAAAATCACCTATGCGGAGTGACCTTAGGTTTAGGTAAATTGAATAAAAAGCACTTTTCATTTTTTCTAGAATTTAAACAAAATCTCATAATAATATGCCATTTCATAATTTTTAACTGGCATGGCAATATAAAAATGAAACATTATGAAAAGAGTACAGTACAAGCAATACACTTTAAGCCTGGCTGCTCTGATAAAGGAAATCTAATCTTCAATAATGTTTCTTCAAAGTAGGATCCATTAACTGTGTTTTATAAAATTGTGTCAAATGTCCGAGAATCGCCATGGACCCCCTGTTACATTGTGCAGCCACATGACTGCTATGATGTGTAGCACAGAATACTGAACCACTTACAAGCCTCCCTTTAGAGGGAGACTATGAGTAAGTGATGACCTCAGAGGGGATTCAAGTATTACGACAGGCCTGTGGTGTTAACCGTTATAGAGCAGATAGTATCACATACAGAAAGCAGCAGGAGAACATGACAGGGACAAAAGTTGCCAAATCTAGCCTTCCCTTGCCTTCAGTCAGTGTTTCAGGGACTGACTCTGTATCTTGTCTTTGAAGGTCCCACACCCTCCCTTGGATCCTACTTCATTATTTAATATCAGTGACTCTCAAGACATGTTCACTGAAACTCTCAAGACATGTTATATTGAAACCAAATCTTTTGTACTGCAGCTTTTGCTTTTTTCTTGCAACAAAGAAATAAAATTTAACCTCCATTGTCTGTGTAATGGTCCTTTGTTCGGGGGACTCTTGTTACTAAGCTGTTGAGTAACTTTCTGCCTGTCAATATTCCATTTTTCTTAAAGGTCTTCCCCTTCCAGCCCTTTGTCTGCTGGAAACCTACCTGCTCTGAGGCTCCACACCCCTGATAGACACTATCTGAGGAGCAATTTTGTCCAAGGACGTATTTTTGACCTGTGGAATATTTTTAGCTCTGTGATTGTTGTGACTCACAATTCTGATCACGTGACCCCTCCAGTGCCTTACGGAGCAAACATTTGTGCCCAAGTTTCCTTAGAAATCAAGTGTCTCCTCACTTTATTAATAATTTATTTAGGGCATATCTACTGAGATTCCCTATGTTTATTTTCTTTCAAGACCACTTAGTGTATATTTCCCACACCCCTAATTCTGTACTCAGACCTATAAAGATACCATGTGACCCTTCTGTTTCCCAGCTTCCAGTAGGCGAGTGAGTGCTACATCCAGTAGCTTTTCCAGACTCTTGGTAAAAATTTCCGTTGACTAAGATGAGAGCATTCCTGCCTGTTGATCATGTTAAATCTGTTTTCCTTTGACTGTCACAGAATGATGTCTCCTGGTAAATGCAAACCTATGTTTTAAAAGGGAGTGTGTTTTAGTGCCTGATCTTGCTTTATTGTATCAGACTGTTTATAAATGATTAGCTATTAAACTGTTAAGCATCATTGTAGAATTTGTATTTACTTAAAACCTCCTCGGGTGCCTTTCATTTTTTAAATCCCTAATTGGTAATCAGGTCACTGCTTATATTTTGCATGTAACCATTTCTACTCTGCACTCATGTTCAGCTTCCCAGAGGATTGGCTATCAGAAGACATGCTACAAAAAATACTTTGCATAGCACTTTTTGTCTTCCTATTAAATTGCTAATAATGTCTCAATAACAGACATCTAATTTATGCAGTGAGTTGTTTTTAAGGGGTGGTTGTCATACTTCTAACCTTTGTGCATACAACAAAAATATGACCAAATTTCCTTCTTTGGTCTTTCAAGCATTCAAGCAAAAACCTTTTCTGAACAAACCACTTTTTAATTCTCCCCTTCTTCCTTTCTTCCTATCCCTTAGTTTCTTCCTTGGTTTTGAAACTGTATGTGTAGGCACTGGAGAAGTAGTTTATTCACCATTGCATAAAAGTACCTGTGAGACCATCATCCAAGCATTCCTAACCTGGAGTCAGTGGACTCGTGGGGGCAGAGGCTCCTCTAATGAGCTTCAGAGGGTCAACCCCCCCAAACTGTGTGCAGTCTGCAGCCCCCAGGAGAGAGTCCACCTGGTCTATAGCAGCCCAAACTAGCAAAGACATAACCCGGATAAACAAAAGCTCTCCAGGGTCCTCAATAATTTTGATGCGTATAAAGGTCCTGAAACCAAAAAGATTGAGAGCAACTGCAAAAGCCTATTTTTAAATTACCTTCAGCATGTCTTCATCAAGAAGAGGGCAGGGAATGGGCAAAATTTTTCTAGCCATGCTTGTAGGAAGTTGTTCTATGCACATTTTTATTGATCATAGTCAAAGGCCTATCGTAGGAAGAAATCAGCCCATTCAGCAGCAGCAATATATGCAGGTTCGGTGGACTTTGTATAACAGGGAGTTCCATTTAATTTTACATCTTACACTTTGTTTAAAAATAAAAATTACATTGTTGAGTTTGCATTTAACAGCCGACTTTTTAAACCAAACACTATGAATGTAAAAAAAAAAAAAAAAGATCTGTGACTGCTCTATAACCACAGAGATAATTGTCACCTGTGATGGTCAGTTTTGAGTCACCTTGGCTAGGCTATAGTCCCAGTTACTCAATCAAACACTAATCTATGTGTTGCTGTGAAAGTGTTTTGTAGAGATGATTAAAGTCCATCTTCAGGCGACTTCAAGAGAGATTATCCTAGATGGCCTGGAGGGCTTGATTCAATCAGGTGAAAGGCCTTAGGAACAGAAGTGAGACATCCCGGAAGAAGAAATTCTACCTGTGGACAGCAAGTTCGGCTCACGTCTGAGAGCTCATCCAGCCTGTCCTTCCTGATGGCCTGCCCTGTGGATTCTGGACTTGCCTAACCAGCATCCACTATCACATGTCAATGCCGTACAATAAATCTTTTAATGTATGTCTCCTACAGGTTTAGTTTTTCTGGCTGAACCCTGAAACATACACCACCTTTGGGGAAGAAAAAGATGATACTCTTTATGCTGCCACTTTTATTAAATAGTATGTAATGTTTCTAACAAAACATCCTCCCCTCCCAATTTTTAGACAGAGCCTAAACATGTAAAGAATAAAGGTTGCACCAAAATAAAAAATTTTGAAATGAGTAGCACTGGTGTCCATTAGTGGCCTCCAGTGTGGCATGTACACATTCCAGGAATAAGCAAGGAGATCCGTTAAGGTGTGGAGAAGATTCTGGAACTTAACGTTGAGTGGGGGATTATTTATAAAAGAAATTAAGCTGCCTCTTATTTCATATTCAGGTCAACACAAACACCTTTATTCCCATCTACTTAGATAGCAGTCATGTGTCTAAATGGATATGAGAGCACTCGTACTCACTATGAAGCAAAGAAAGGTGCGAAGAATTTCATCCTTGTATCAGGAAGTCAGTGAGGAGGGGCCTATGGCATCCGGTACAATTTTGATTATCCATGAATAAGGAATTTTAGAACACAAAATGAGATCTCAAAGGAAATAGCAAAATCATTTCTGAAAAAATTTTAAGAAAAGGCTGGGATTCTTTTTCACATGCAAGCGAACTTTAAGTCTCTTTTAAAAAAAAAATTGGTATTTCCCATTTTAGGTTTGTTTTTTCCTTTTTGCCAAAATGCGTGGTTGTGAATTCCAGAATCTCTTTAAGCCAAGTGAATAACAAATACCAAAAAAGGGGGACTGCTATTTTCTAAAAAGTTAGCAAACACAGAAAATGTAACTGTCTCTTTTTTTAAACTTATCAAGGATTTCAATGAATTCAGTAAAAACGGCATTGTCTTCCCTTGGGTGTGCAGTTAATAGTTGTTGAACTTAATTGGTTGGAATAACCAAGGAACATGGTTCACATCTGCAGAGTTGTGGGTTACGAAAACATTTGCAAACATCCTGTCCACCAAAGAGACTAGCCAATAAACACTTAGAAATCATCTGACATTTCTCTTATAACCGTACTATCCCTATGGGTTTCACGTTTAATAGTGAGGAGTGTTATTTGATTCTTATTCTTTGATTTTGATGTCAGTACCAAATTGTTACCAAAACCGATTAACTTTTATCTCCAAGATTTATGTTACATTGCCTAAAGCTATTTGTTTCTTTTGGATTCTCCTGCTGCCAAGAAAAGTGGTGGCTGTGTCCTGAAATCGCAGGGCGACTCCACTGACAGTTCCCACATCTGAAGAGACAGTGAGCGGGCCGAGGAGGCCATCTTCCAGAATCAGTCATACAGCGTTACCGTGTTTCTCACTTACCAGACAAAGTCATGGGTGGTTTTTCTCTTCGGTGAAAAGCAAATTCCACCTTAAAAAGCACTGATATTTAAGAATAAAAGGCAACCCAATTTTTAAAAAGCATTTGATTTTTTTAATAGAAATATTTTTATTTTAAAAAAGATGTTGAAAGCATGAGAAATCTAATAGTTCTATAAAATTACTTCCAAAAATCTTGTGTATTTTGTATTTTCACAATATAATGGCACTAAACATGTGTGCCCTCAAACATGATTATCATGTAGTCACTGAAATAGTAGCCATTTTAACCTTGAGGAGTTTTCTCCAGCTGTAAGGAGGAATAATTGACAAATACAATCGTATATATTTAAAATGTACACGTGATGATTTTATATACAGTAATACCTTGGTTTGCAAGCATAATTCATTCCGGATCAAACTACTCGCATTGCAAGACATCTCGTTTACCACATTAAAATGTGTTAGAAATGTTTGCTCCTCTTGCAGAACACTCGCAAACCATGTTACTCGCAATCCAAGGTTTTACTATACATGTACATTGTAAAATGATTACCAAGATCAAAATAATGAACACACCCATCATCTCACAGTTAACACTTTGTTAAGATCTCAGCAGGTTTCAAGTATACAATACTGTATCTTTAACTAGAGTCACCATGCTGTACATTAGAGCCTCAGAAATTATTCATTTTACAGGCCGGCCGAGTGGCTCAGTTGGTTAAGAGCACAAGCTCTGAACAACAGGGTCGCTGGTTCGATTTCCCACGGGTCAGTGAGCTGTGCCCAAGCTGAGCTGCCAACAGGTGACAGGATGGCTCAGCTGGTGAGAGTTTGACTCCCACATGGGATGGTGGCTACTCCCACCCGCAACTAAGATTGAACACAGCACCTTGGAGCTGAGCTAGCTGCGCCCTCCACAACTAAGACTGAAGGACAACAACGTGGCTGTTCCCCTTCCCTGATTCCCCAACACTGTTCCCCTTCCCAATTCCCCAATAAAATCTTTAAAAAAAAAAGAAAGAAATCATTCATTTTATAACTTTGTACTCTTTGTACCAAAGTTTGCACCCTTTCACTTCTATCTCCTCTCCGTCATTGTAATGTCATACAGAATAGTTTCACTGCCCTAAAAAGCCGTGTGCTTTGCTTATTCATCTCTCTCTTCCCTTCCCCCCAGCCCCTCATGATGGTTTTGATTCCCATTTCCCTAGGGACTAATGTGTTGATCATCTTTTCATGTGCTTATTAGCCACTTGTATATCTTTTACGCATACATTATTAAACATCGTCACAACCCACAGAGTGTACAACACCAAGGGTGAACCCTAATGTAAACTATGGCCTTTGTACAATAATGATGCGTCAACATAAGTTCATCAATTGTAACAACAAATGACCACTCTGGTGCAGAATATTGCTAGAGTAGAGATAGGGGATGGGGAGGTAGAAGGGATATAGGAACGCTACTTTCTGCTCAAATTTGCAGTGAACTTCAGCAGCTC